GGGGCAGGACTCCGCAGAAGACCCTCTCAGAAACGGCCCAATTAGCTGGAGTGCTCTAGAACCGAGGTCTCCAACTGTTTCAGCTTCACGACCGGCCGAGGGGGGCTGGTTCCACACAAGCAGCGGGCAAGCGTGCGCGCGCACCCCCCCCCCCCCCCGCTTGCCTGCCCTTTGCACGAGGGGACGGGTGCAGCCTGGTTCTCCACGGCCCAGTGCTGGGCCACGCCAGGGACTGGGGGCCCCTGCTGTAGCGTTCCGCCCCCCGAGTGAGTGGAGCCGCCTGCCAGCCCCGGTTGGTTCCAAGGAAACGCCAGGCCAGATCGGAGCTTTCTGAATAAAGCGGCTGCTTCACGTTTAATTAAAAAGGGGGAACAGATTGTCACAGATCTTAACATCAGCCAAAGTAGGTTGGTGGGACTGAACGACGCTGAACAACATTCACGGCAGTAGCGCTCTACATTTGCACAGAGTGGAGTGGCGGGGAAGGGGGTGGCGTGGGCAGAAACCCTCGGGAGGTGGGGGGGTTCTGGGTGGAGTTCCAGTCTTTGCAGGCAGTTCCCACCAGTCCCTGGCATAGCTTTGCTCCCCGGCAGCCGGGCCGAAATGCAAGAGGAGCTGCTGCTTCCTTCATGCCCGTCCCAAAGCGCCCGGTTCCTTAAGGGCCCATCAGGCCGGAGCCTCCCTTCTGCTGGGCCTGGCGTCGCCCTTCGGAGGTTGCTGGCCAGGATGGTTGGAGAGGCCCCACTCCCACCCACCCCCCACCCCAACCTGAGTCACCCAGAGTCCCTCTTTGCAGGGGAGCTTCCGGCAGGTCCCTTGGGGTGTTGCTTGATTCTCCTCGGGGGGCTTTCCTTCTCACGGCTGAGCTGCAGGCTCCCCCCCCACTTCAGGGCCTGCGCCGAGGAAGGGGACTTCGGCCTCTGCGCCCGTCAGCCTCATCTCGGGATGCCCTCCTGCCGCCAAGTGTCCACCTCTGCTTGCTTGGCGGGCGATGGAGGGACGGGGCTCTGCGCACTCCTGGCTCAGCCGCCTGGGAAGGTTCGTCCGCAGACCAGTCGCTGCTCTGGAATGACTTGAACTGCCCCAGAGACAGTTGGGATGCTGGGCGATCTTCGGAGGGGCGTTTCTGGGGAAGGGGGCGGAGGAAGAGTGCCGGGGGCCCTTGTGCCTCTCCTCCTTTTTGTGGGGCAACCCCCTCCGCCCCCCCCCCGAGGCAGGACAGCCGGAAGCCAGCAGCAGCCAGGACAGAGACCAGGACCGCCCAGAGCCCCCCTGGAAGCCCAGCCCGGCTGCACTGGGACGGCCCAACGGCCCCCCAACTCTGAAAAGAGGAGGGTCCCAACTGCCTGGGGAGGAGAACCAGGGAGCTGGGAGGGAGAGAGTGAGGCCATCGGCCCCGGGCATCACTCCTGCTGGGTGGCGGTTGAGGAGGGGCCTTTCTGCTGCCAGGAAAGGGGAGCCCCCCCCCTTTCCCACCCAACTGCTCCAGGTTCTGGCTCACGCTCGGAGGGGGGGCAGCTGCGCACTCCCAGGCGGCTGCCTGGCTGGGGCTGCCGGCTTCCTTCCTCGGGGCCGGGGGTGGGGGGGTGTTCCTTGGCGCCTGCCCACGAGGCGCCCTAAAGCCTCTGCGATGCACGACACAGGCGGGGCTCACGCTGGGCGGGCCGGAGGGTGGTGGCGGCGGCAGCGGCTGCTGCGAGGGGCTCAGAAGAGGCCGGCTTTCTTCTTCAGCTCGTTCCGCTTCCACAGGGCCAGGCGGGAGAATTCCTCCGGGGACGTCTCAAAGACCCGCTGGAAGTCCTCGGGTGACAGGTGCCGCTGGGGGGGGGGAGGAAGAAGAGGAGGGTGGTGGGAGGGCTCCGCTTGGCCCAGCCCCCACGGCTAAGCCTGGGCCAGAGGGGCAGGAGGGGGGGGGGCGCCATACCTCCAGTCGCGTCCGGTCCACTCCGGGCGGCAGTTTGACTCGCCCTCGGTTGGTCACCACCAGCATCTCGTAGGGATAAATCTTGGGCCAGGGAGAAGCAAAGAGCCAGCCGGTCACCAGGCCTGTGGGGGGAGGCCTGGCTCTGCGGCCCCCCCTCCCCCCCCCTCCCCGGTGGGCTCTCCCTCACCTTTTGCTCCAGCATGCTGGGGAGGGAGCTGCCTCTGTCCATGCGGCTTCTCTGGCCGTTCTGCAGGGGAAGCGGCAGGGGGCCCTGAGTCCAAGGGACCACAGGGTCCATCCCATGGGGCCCGGGTGGGGGTCCCTCCTGGGCCTGCCCCTCCCGAGTCCAGGGGGGCTGAGGGTGGGGAGAGGCGTCCGTGGGGCCTCCGGGCTGCTCCCTTCCCCCGTCAGGGTGCCTGCTCACCTGCAGACCTGCAAGAGAGAAGGGAGAATGAGGCTGGGGGAGGAGCAGGAGGACCCCCGGGGGAGGGGAGGGGGGCCGGGAGCGTCTCGTACCTGGGCTGCCCCTGTCACTGCTGCCGGATCCAAACTCGGTCGACTGCAGCTGCGGAAGGAGAGGAGCAGAGCCGCGTCAAGGCAGGTTGCTCTCCCGCCTCCCGCCAGGCTGGCGACAAGGCACCAGCAGCCACCAAGACGCGGCTCTCCCTGCAGGGCTGGAGCCTGAGGCCCACCCGCCGGGCCCCGGGGACGGGGACGGGGGCGGGCGTGGTGGGACAGGCGCCCCCACAGGCCTGCTCAACGCAAACCTGGCCAGAGGAATCGGGGCGGGAGGGACGGACGGCTGAAGCCAGGGAGGTTTGGCAGCGGTGGGAGCCCCCGCCCAGCACCCACCTGCTCTGACCCTCCCCTGCCCCATCTCTGGGCAGCCAAGGGCAAGAACAGCCCGGGGGGAGGGGGGAACCCAGGAAGGCCCTCCCCCGCTTCCTTGCCTGCCTTCCCCGGGGGTCTCCGCTTACCCGGGCAAGCGTGTGTCTCCCAGAGGCC